CCAGATGGTGTGTGAGCGCAGGGTCAGTGCTGACTTCATACACAGATCTGAAAGAACCACGTACGTAACTCCACCTTCCCTCCCCGGGAATGGAATTTCAAGTACGTTAGGGTTACGGTGGGAGCAATTGCAAGGCATCGAGTACTACTCGTTTCAGTAGGTAGAGAACACTGCTCAACGATCAGAGCTCATAAAAAGTTGAGCGGCCTGTGTGAACTGGCGTGTGCAACAGAAAGCACAGATATGGCGAGAGGGAGACTGAAACAATAGGTTCCTCTTTTAAGTGGTGGCCGCCCAATTCCAAGAGTTCTGGCCAGACACAGACGTTACTTTCTTTGACGCGGCCCTGACCTGAGATGGATTGACACCCCGGAAGCAAGAGTACTCCGTTGATTTTTAATGTTACACCAATTTTGCCAAATGATAATTTGCTTTCAGAAGGCTAAAGACGTTCGTCTAGAAGCAGTAGCACCTATCAAATTCGATTAAACCAAATGGGCAGCCGATTTAGTGGCATTTTCAGCACACACTTATAGGGATAGCGGCAAACCGACTGGCTGTCTTTCGGACAGCTGGCGATGCCCACAGAAAATGAACCGAACAAGATTATCGACCAAGACAAGGGGGACTGGAATAGCTTTTTCCGGCCTATTAGCCGTCGTCAGCCAACCATACAGAAACCCGTAGGTCCCGTAGCCAGATCGGGGAGCACACTTTGATGCGGTTAATACACCAAATGTGAGAGAGTAAGCTGACTATCGAGGCCGGATTTACTAAGAAGGCAATCTAGGTGTTTTGGCTGATCTTGAATAGTCAAGTTGGCAAACACGTGTTTTCGGTAATTCTTCGTCAGGCCAATATAGTTACATGAAGGAATGAAAATGTACAAAATCAGGTGGTTAGAGCGTTGGCTGTACTAAAGCCTTCCCCTTACTGCGTGGGTTCGAATCCCACCGAGGCGCCCAGTTTTTCACAGTTGGGTCAATATGAAAATCAACAGTGTTTATAGGTGTCTCAAGGGCCATTAATTCATCAACACTCATCTTCCCCACGCCGCCCGCATGACAAGGCCGGCGAGTTTTGGGAGGGGGGTAAAAGAGTCTTTGAGTGATGTCCTTGGATTGAGTACACGGAGTACCCATCACTGTAATTAGGGATTTGAGGCGGCATGTCGTTGTCACTGGAGGTTGGCGTTGGCCACGGCAGAGAGAGCGCTTGTGTCAGGGTTTTCTGACCGCCTAACACCGGGTTCGCTAGCCGTATAGCCACAGCCTCGGCCGTTGCTAGTATCCGTTGGCGTAGGCCATTAGAGAAGCATGTTGGTGTCCGGTAGACAATCTGAAATGCTTCCTTGGCATCGACTCGTTAATTCGCATTGATTAAATGTGCGAGAATAGAACTCGAAATCTTGAATAATCTATTTTGACCCAACTGTGAGAAACTCCACAACTTCAGTCCGAATCCCACCGAGGTGGCTGTACTGAGGCCTTCCCCTTGCTGTCGTAGGTCCGAATCCCACCGATGTCGCCGAGTTTTTCACTGATGGGTCAACATAAATTATTCACGATCTCAGTTCTGCGAATATTCCCATAGTACACTTGAAAAGTCCGTATGACAAACACGTGTTTTCGGTAACTCTTTGTCAGGCCTGTACTGTTACATGGTAAATTGGATTAATAAGTGATTCAGGGGCTACTGACACTCATCGTTCCCACGTCACTCGCGTGACGAGGTCGGCGTGTTATGATACTTGGGGCGGGAGGGGGGGGGGGTGACATAGGCCGTGGGCGGTGTTTGGAGCACACATCACTGTCATCAGGGAGTTGGGGTGGCGTGTAATAACCTCCTGGGGTTGCAGTTGGCCACGGAAGATAGAACGCCTTTGTCAGCGTCTTCCGACGTCATAGCACTGGATTTGATAGCCGTATAGCCACTGCCTCGGCTGTAGCTAGCACCCGTTGACGAAGGCCCCTGGAGAAGCTTGCTGACGTCCGATAGACAACCGGAAAGGCTTCTTTGGCATCGATTCGGCGATTCGTATCGACTATGTTTGCGAGAACAGAAATCGAAATCGATTTGTTTTCGTCACGTATTCTCTTTTCCAAGCGTCTCGCCGTACAGCCAAAGTATCCCGCCCCACAGGAGCAAGCGAATGAATAAACAAACGTCGACGTGGCCTGCAAGGGGAGTCGGTACATACTTCCCAAGTGTAGGAGGGGAGAGTTCGTGAAATTTACACGTAGATTCGCCGCGGGTAAAGCGCTAGTGATCGCTGTATTTAGACGGCGCCTCACTAGGTCGCTTGCTGCGTCCCCTTGAAAAGGCGGTCTTTCTTTTCTGCAGTTGCCATGGTATGTAAATGGAGTAGTCTGACGATGAGCTGCCGAAAGCAGGTGTTA